GCCCTCGCGGAGAAGGAGACCAGAAAGAGCTTGTGGACGCACACGGCCTGCGTGTGCAGTCTTCCCAGGGGGCAGCTGCACGCGGGGCGCCCGTTCGGGTCCCAGTAGACCGTGGCAGGCAGGCCTTTCTTCCCGTCTGGCATGCCGATCGGCCTGAGCGTGCCGTGGCCCTTGGCGTCCCAGTTGGAGCAGTGCAGGACGGCGGCACGCCCTTCCCGAAACCCCTCGGGCCAGACGAACGCCGTCCCGTCCACCACGCACTGGATGAAGCGCTCAGCTTGGAGACGGGATGGATCGTTGATGCCCTGCCGGCGCACCTGAAGAACAGGGGGGCGGGTCAGGAACACGAAGAAGCTATCAGGTGCCGGGACGAAATCTTGTACCTGTTTCCTACGAAGCCAGCGGTCGAAGTACCGGACAGGGGCAAAACGGATCGGGACCTGAGATACAAGGGTTATCCCCGAGAATGCCGGGCACGACGGCGACTTACCATGGCACGGGCGAGTGGGGTCGGGCACTCGCGAGGGCGCGCGGGGGGAGGAAGCTTCGCCTCCCGAGGCCGCTTCCCGACCGGGCCCTTAGCTGGGGGTAGCTTCCTTTTGTTGCACACCGCGCCGGTGCTCGCCGCCTTCGACTCGCAATCAGCCTTCTTGAGTGTGCTCAGCTGCTTCAGGTCCAACGCCCACAGCTGTCGCCAAGGGCCCATGCCCCCATCCTGGCGGAGGACTGGGGTGTCGCCCAGGCGCAGCTCACCACGGTTGAGGACGTGAAGCTTGGCCGCGGAATACTTCGCGACGCAGTCCCAGCACAGAATGGGTGCGAGGGCGCGGCTGCTTGCGGGGCAGATCATGAAGCCAGGGTATCTGAGGCTGGCTTTCTGCACCAGGCTGAAGGTACCCACCGCTTCCTTCTTGGGCTTGCCCTTCGCGTCGAAGCACGGCTTCCCGTCTGGGCCGAGCACGGGCCTGGTGTCCTTCACCTTCCACGGGTGGCTGCAGATGGCGCACTTGCCGGTGATGTTGGCGTGCAGCGCCAGCTGCTCGTCCGTCCAGAGGAGCCCCGCATGCAGAGCTCTGTCGGTGTGGTAGCCGTACGCCATGGTCGCCTTCGTTTCGATTGGCCTGCGGGAAGGGGCACGGTTCCTTAAGTAGGATTCGGGGTGGCACGGCGGTCATTTCATGCAGTCAAAACATGCCCCGAGGAGCGGTGAAGATGAACAGCCAGACGATCAAGCGAAGAAGATCGAAGATGTAGGTCGAGGAAAAGAATATACCTGCAGGCCATCTCGCTGATCGTCTTGATGAGGTCGTCCGTGAGTAGATACAGTGGCGAATCGGCTTTGCATCGTTTGATTCCCACCGATGCGGCCATCTGTTGCTGTAAGGCGTCTGCCATGTTGCATTGGAGGCGCCGTACCTGAGACGAGTAAAATGAGCTGATCGACGATTGTAGAGAACCCTAATTATGAGGAATTCGTGGCATCATCAGCTCATATCTGAGTGAAATTTCGCGCCCACCGTGAGCTACATGCTAGTTGCCGAGAACCCTTACGAAAAATCAGTGGCCCCATCAGCTCATGCGTGCTATTCGCGCCCACCACCGAGCTAAAAAATCTACATGCTAGTTACCGAGAGCCCCGATTCGAGAATTTCGTGTCCCCATCAGCAGTTGCCGAACCCTAATTCAGGGAAGTTCGTGTCCCCAGCTCATGAGTACTATCCGCGCCCACCAGCGAGCTGAAAAGCTTCATGCAAGTTGCCGAAAACCCTAATTAAGAGAATTTCGTATCTCCATCAGCTCAGCGCCCACCGTCGATCTAGAAAGGTTCATGCTAGTTGCGAGAACCCTAATTAAGAAAAATCCATGTCTCCATCAGCTCAGCGCCCACCATCGAGTGAAAAACACTTCATGCTAGTTGCCGAGAACCCTTATTATGAGAAATTCCTCTTGAGGCAACTGCTGAAATTCATTTCCACCGCTAGTTTGAAGACAGAGCAAGAGGTTGAGAATCATGCCGGATCATGCCACCAAGCTCAGACCGAGTTCTAACGCCAAAATGCTGAGCTCCCCAGCGGCGCTGGAACATCATGCCACCTTTAAAGTCCAAGCTAGTCCAGACCGTCCAGACCCAATCTTCTGAGGCCAATGCTCCGCCGAATCATGCCACCACCATTTTCAGAATGAGTTTTGGCCAAAATGCCGAGCTCCCCAGTGCCTCTGAGAACCATGCCATGATGCCACCACCATTTTCAAGGACAAGACAGAGCTCAGAATGAGTTCTGGCCAGAATGCTGAGCTTCCCAGTGCCGCTGAAAAATCATGCCACCTGTAAAGTCCAAGCCAAGTCCTGAGGCCAAATGTAGAGACTCTCTGGTCAGGAGCAAAAGAGAGGTCGTAGACTGACCTGTCAAGATGATCTACCCGCCATTGCTGCAATGCTGTGCGCCGCCACCGTCTCAAGGCTGCCGCTGCTGTTGGAGTGAAGTCGCTACAGAGAAGCTTCTGTTCGATGTTGGTCTGAGAAGAATGGCGGCGCAGCTGCAGAATACTGCGCCGGAAGAGAGCTTGTTTTACGAATGTCCCTTCTGAGCTCTGGAGGCTGCCCCAGAGCTCTGCAGGCCCGGCATTGTGTGGCATGATTGTGAGATGCGTTACTGAATGTGTGGTACAGCTTTCAGCAGCCATGGGAACGTGATCTTGAGCTAAGTCTTCGGTCCGTGGTGCTGCCCTCAGTTGATGCTAGCTATCAGCTGGTTGAGAGGGAAGGACCACTTCGGTTTAGGGTTGCAGACTTGCTGGACGCGAAGAAGGTTCGAATTAACATGTTATTTTAAGTGCTTGTGAAATGTACGTCCCGCATTTTCATTCGGGGGGGGCACCTGGTTTTGCGGATAGGCTGGAAGGACGTACGCTGGTTAATTCGGGATTTTCAGAGCCGTCCGATGGTCTCCCGAGCACTTTCAGCCGGGAGATTACCCTGAAAAACCAGAGCCCAACCCCAGAAACAACTGATTCAAGTACCCGGATATACCGTAATGCCATTGTGAATTCGCATAGAAAATAATTATTTTAGCCCAGGTCGAAATTTTTAGGAAATTATTTCTTGCCTGGTCGAAAAGTTGAAATTGAAAATCCAAGATTTTTGGACCCAAAAAGGCTCTTTTAGCAGGCAAAATAGGCAAAAACGAAAACAAAAATAAATTATTCTGGCCGATGCGAAACCAGAAAAACTTTGAAAATAATTATTCGCGGACATGGGGTGCGAATTCGAATGGCAGTACGGTAACTATTACCTACCGGTACATTAGGCGGTCTGGACTCTGGACTCTATGATTGGCTGAGCCTGGGTTTGTCGAACTCGCGACTCTGAATTAATGCAAGGTCAGGGAATGAATTATAATGATGCGGATTCTGGGACTCACGCTCGTGTTGTAACTTTGTCCGAGTCAGTGATGGGCGCGTTCAAGCGCGCTCCTTTTATTGGTTTTATGGGGATTTGGATTTCCGGTTCCGAAGTCGGAAGCGTTGGACGGAACGGCTAGATTCAACGGAAGCAGAATAAATACTGGCAAAGGTCAAGCTCGGGGAAAATCATCGCGCGTTCTAGTTCCTACGCTTTCCTTTCTTTTCGGACCCACCCGGAAAGGCGGCACCGTTCGGGTTGTTTTGACACAGGTTGTTGATAGGTAGGCTGAATTTGGCATGCAGTGTCAACGACAGATCCGCACGAGGACGGCGACGCCCTCACATGATTTGCTCTAGTGCGTCGCCGACCAAGTTTAGGGCCCAGATTCTTGGTTGGTATGGGGCAGTCACTGTGACCTCATCGGACGATCCATGTGCCACTTGTTTCAATCGACGGTGGAAATCTCCGGGACTTTAGCAGTGTTATTTTAAGAGTCACCGTGACCGTCGCTGTCGGTAGAAAATTCTCCTGCGCAGCGAGCAGTGTCAGCAAAGTGTCACGCTTTGGCACCTCAAAGTCAAAGGTGACCTCCAGCTCAGAAAAGGGAAACGTACAGGAGCATGGCGCTGGAATAAACATGCCACCATGCGGCCTGGCGACTCCAGGGGGTGTGGCGATGCGGGAGAAATGTCGTCCCGCCCGTTAGCAGCAGCTTATTATGCTTTTCTTGTTGGCTAGCTCTGATCTTGCGCTGAACACGGTTTCTTTCCTGTTCGGGTCCCGCTTGGATCGAGCTCATTTTCAATGCAGGGCTCACCAGTTTCACCGGTCGAACATGCTGGTGTCTATCCTTTCCCTTTTCAGAAACCCGTAGTAGCTGGCAGTGGAGGTCCAGGGTTTGTCGACTCTTCATACTCAAAAGGCGTGTCTGGCATGCGGCATAGTTTGCTCTGACAGACATATACGGCACTGAGCGCACCCTACGACAGCAAATGGAGAGTATGATCGGTAGACTCCACCAAAAACACAGCGGCAGCTAAAACAAACTTGAGCGAAGCGTAGGCGGGAGCTAAGATCTCACGGCAGCTAGGGGTCTCTGTTCTTTCTCCAGACTTTAGAGTGACGGTTTTCGAGGCTGTCAAACGGGGTGTTTCTTACTTCCTGGAGTCATGCCCGGGATGCTGACCATGATGGCACAGGATGGCCTGGGTCAGTACCAGGACCACATTCACTTCTTTGATAACCAGCAAGCACGGCAGAGCGGTCAGATGCAGTCAAAGAAGGGCCTGATGAATAACATGGGCGTCCTGCAGTCAACCGACGCTTTGGAAGCAAAGCATGGTAAGCTGAAAGGCGATCCCTAGCAGAATCTTGTTTTAGTTGGCGTTGGCGTGATGCATTCGTGTCGCTCACTTGGAAGGTTTTGAGAAAATAATCGCGGATATGGATCTGGGTAGCCTCATTCTTTTCAGGGGTTAGAGTTGTTATCAATTGGAAGGTGGCTGTTGGTATTCGCTGAGTCCGTCATTGTCGCTGAGAGGTTTTAGATATTGAGTCTTGAAGGGGTATGCTATGACGTATGGACTGTGTAAGCGGTCTTGTTAGTTTCGTAAAGCCTGAAAGGGTGGCATGAGCCATACAGTTTGCGCGTCACAAGCTTTGGTGATTGAATCTATACCGGGTCTGCTATTTCTATCTCTCTCGTATTGTTATGTCTTCATTCTTGCTTCCTGGACGTTGAATGCCAGTGGGAAGGTTCCCGGCAGCATGTTTGAGTCTTACTCCATGCTACCATCGGGATAGTTCTTGGAAGAATTATCAGGGTGTCGCGCTAGAGACTGCAATATAGTCCAAGCACTAGAAGTGGTCTATTTTAAATCCGGGTTGTACAAAATCCCCAGTTGCTGCATGAGATCTGATGAAATTGATTTTACAAGGTGTGGTATTAAGATACATCCTGCATGATGCATGTTCGATGTTGAGAGATGTTCTGAGCGTGCTATAAATGCTGCTGCAAGCTTCTGGGACGAGCTCTGAAGAGATATTGCTAGGCAGCTTGCTTGATCTTTTTGTTGTGTTTGCTCGATCGTGCGATGAATAAATCGTCATGTGCAAAGGTCTATTGGGAAGCTGTGCGTCCTTGCCACTTTAGAGCAGGTGTTTTGAAGGAAAGTAGTGTACGGGCCTTTGCTGGTAACATCGTAGCGTCTCGATTCGGTGTTCTTGTAAGTTTCAAAAGGATTCAGTGTGGTGGCAGGCATTCAATTTCAAAAAAATCTCTTCCTTCAAACAGCTTCATACAAGAACCAGTCTCAGCGTCCTGCTCAAACATAGAGCTTGGGCAGCTGTGTAGAACAAGATCGAATGTTTTTTGTGCATCGGACTGTTTCCTAAAACACTGCATGGTTCCCTTAAAAGCCACTCCACCAGCACAAGTGCATGCAAAGCGCAGACTGGTCTAGTATGTTGCTCAATTCAATTTCAGCAAAGAGCTTCCTGTAGCATGCAGAAGCCCCTGGCAGAAGGATTTCTCTCCTTCTCTTTGTGGTTACTGAGACAGAGCGGTCATGGTGCACGGCAGCTACATAAGAGAGAGTCGTTGGCTCAGTTTGGGGTAGTGCTCCAGGCAGCTTCAACTTCCATTGAGCTGCGTCAATGAATTGCGTCGCAGCAAAGTTGATGCTCTGTAACATCCTTCTTCAAGCTGTACCTGAACTCTTACACGGTGTTCGTCGAAGTTTGACGGAGTTCGTGCTTTTGTTTTGTAGTTGACAATGCCCTCCTGGCCCTGGCTCACCAAGAGTATAAGCAAGGCAGCTATCAAGACGCCATGAGCCACGTCGCGCATGTCCGCATTCGGGACCCGAAGCGCACCGACGCCCTCCTCCTGCAGGGCGCCATCTACTACCAGGTACGGCTTTGGCCCCTTCCAATTTTCGGGACAACTCTGAGCTGCGCTTGTGAAAGTTCTCGAACTGCAGCTCTGTTTGAGCTCTACTAAGGCCTTAGCTCGATGTCCAAACCTGTTAGCTTGACTGTGTGCTATGAAAGCACACTCGCGGCAAGGCCTGCAAACTTTGCCCATGCCTGCCTGAAACGTTAGGTGCTCCCCACAAGGAGAAGTCGAGCATGTTTGCATGGCAACAAGAAACCAGGGAACCAGCCCTTCTCATGCCCCAATCCAGAGGATTGAGAGCTGTCTAGGGCATGCATGGGCAAAGAAGTGGCGGTGACTTCGATACATGTTTCAGTTCTTTCATTCCCTGCTTCTTATTGAAGAACTTGACCAAGCTGCAGTTCAACAGGGCTAGAACAAGAACAGCAACGACTGTAAAGAAGAGTGAGCAATGAGGCACTTTGAGATGCGGAAGCGATAATGTGCTGGTCACTGAGTGCATCTTTGTCGTCAAACCCTTTGCAGCTACATAATTTTGACGAATGCATCGAGCTGAATCAAGAAGCCATCAGGCTGGACCCGGGCTTCGCGGAAGCCTACGGGAATCTCGCCAACGCCCTGAAAGTGAGCAGCTGCCTCAAGGTCCAACTTCTTTGTTATTTCCTCGAGATGTCAAGCAGGAGATGGGCATACAGTTGGGGCAGACTGACCTTGTCTTTTAGTTGGATAGAGGAAACAGAGGTGTTACACTGCTAGGCGCAGCTCTGGGTCCCGTGTGCCCTTTGCCACAGCCTCTCTAGTTTGTCGTGGGCCTTTTTTCTGTAACTTGTCTGACAACATCTTACTTATCTTCATTACAAGGACTGAAGACCTGCGATGCTAGCGTGTTACTTGCAACTAATGTCAACTGATATGAGTATTTCAATATGCAGGAGAAGGGAGAACTGGACCTGGCAATCCAGTACTATCTTACCGCCATACAAGTAAGTAAAATGTGGTGACACCATTGATTAGGATCTTCGTAACCATCTTTGCATCTTTGAAAGGATGAAAAGCTTCACGTTTGTCCCCAATCCTTTCGGCAAACTGACTGGAAAGTCCCAACCCTTTCGGCGAAACTGCTTGGAAAGACTGCGCTTGTGGTCTATCTTTGACTTGCTCGTTCTTTACTGCGTTTCAATACGTGTTGCAGCTCCGTCCATCGTTCTGCGACGCTTATAATAACCTGGCTAGCGCTTACATGAAGAAGGGAATGCTGAACGAGGCCGCGGCATGCTGCCGCTATGCGCTGCACCTCAACCCGAAGCTGGTGAGAATCATTTCGTTATCCTCACGGCTGTGCACGTTTTCTGTTGTCTGTTCGTCGAGCAAATGTGCGCTGCTGCCGGTGAGTCTCATCAGTCAAAAGTGATTTCAACCACGGTGATCGGAGTTCATTCTCTGTTGGTCCAGCTTACTGCTTGCAGCAATAGACTAGGAGTCGTTAGATTTGTGTTTGCATCTCATCGATCACGAGCTGGTGTAACGGTTCGGACTGAAAACTTGCCACCAGATGCAATACTTCGGCCCCATTCCAAATCGGTCCTCTAGGCCTCACTTTTTTGGACTTTTGAAAGAAATTTCTATGGACCCGCTTACTCAAAGGCGCCTCAAAAATTGGGACACGAATGCCAAGTACACACAACAGCCCCAAACAGAAAACTATTCTACGTAGCACTGCCCAAGTACTCTTATTTGCCTGAGGCGAACCGTTTTTATTCGGAGCATATAGATGGATCCCCTTTCTTGCCCTATTGAACGGAGTCACCAGATGATCCACCGCCCGCCTCCAATGCAGTCGGTTCGGCTTCACGCATATCGCCCCCCTTTTTGTCAAGGCTTCAAAAAGTCACTGAAACGGCATGTGGTTCTGCGTCCAAACATACGGTCCTGCCTTCAAAGGGCCCGAGTCTAAGCTTCCACTTTATTCGCCCTCTCCAGGCGGATGCCCACAGCAACCTGGGCAACCTGCTCAAAGCCCAGGGGCTCGCGCACCACGCCTACTTCTGTTACTTGGAGGCGCTCAAGATCCAGCCGACATTCGCAATTGCATGGAGCAATCTCGCGGGGATCTGCATGGAGTGGGGGGACCTGCCGCGCGCGCTCGCGTACTACGAGGAGGCGGTGCGGTTGAAGCCCAAGTTTGCGGACGCACACTGCAACATGGGGAATGTTCTCAAGGTGAGGAAGCCTCCAATAGGTGTTTGAAAAGGGCTTTGGTCTTTCAGCTCTGCGAAGGGTTAAGGATGTAAGCCGACAGTACGGATTGCCGCTTGAAGGACACGTGTTTTGGAAAGATGAAAAACAATTGGGTTTGCAGAGGGGTGCGCTCAGAAGAGGGGCTCGTTTGCTGTTGTTAAGAACAGCTTAGTCAGACGATAAGAGACAAGCTAGCTGGCACGCACTCTGTCTCTCTTGACGGCTCTCAACGCCGCACAGCTTGAGAAACCGCCTCTTCTTTTTGTTGGCGAAGCAGTCTGAGGTCACAGACCTTCTCGAGAAGGCTGATTGAGCCCCACGAGGGTTAGCCTTCAGATAATACGAGCACCGATGTGCAAAAAAAAAGTCCGTTGCTTGTATGGAAGGACGTCGAGCATTCCCCTTCTTCTGAACGGCTTCTGATTGGTTGAAATTCTGCAAGATTGCGTGGACTGAGAGCCAACAATTAATCTCTGTTAAACTTCCACGTATCTACCGTCACAGTCTGCCTCCTTCCGCGACCCGGAATTGCTCACTGTACCCTCTACAAGATCGAAAGATTATGGAGAATACGCAGAGATAACACGGTTGGTTTGTGCAGGCTATGAATCGGCCCCAAGAAGCCGTCAACTCCTACCTCCAAGCGATTCGGCTGCGGCCCGACTTTGCAATTGCGCATGGCAACCTGGCTAGCATCTACTACGAGCAGGGGCAGCTCGAGCAAGCGATTGCGACGTACAGAGACGCTATCATGCTGGAGCCGACATTCGTCGAAGCTTACAATAATCTGGTGAGACCTCCGACGGGCGGTCGTACTTGCTGAGGTGGCTGTCTGAATGCTTGGCATGGGAGGACTTTTCGTCCCATCCGCAAGAGAATGATCAAGCGGCTTCAGCGTGCACAGCATTTAGTGGTTCCTTCTCGGGTCCTGCAGATTTGCTTAACCAGCTTGCAGGTCCACTTATCTGGCTTCCTTGGGATTTCGGAAATGGAACGTAGCATAAGCATCCACGTCTTTATCTCCTAGCGTGGTCCATCGCTTCTGGCCTCGTTGGGTCCTTCCTTCCGCCGCTATTCGGAACATACCGAGTTATCACGAATCTCGCTGTCCATCCAGTCCTTGTCTCTGAAACTTGAGGCTTTCTAGATTGCTTACCGTCGGTAATTCTCCAGGGCAACGCCCTAAAGGATGCGGGACGAGTCGACGAGGCCATCACCTGCTACCAGACGTCTTTGGCACTCCAGCCGAACCATCCGCAGGCCCTCACGAACCTCGGCAACATATACATGGAATGGTGAGCGGTCCCTTGTCTTCCGCAGTCATGATGCCAAAAGCAAACGCGAGAGTAGTCCTTTTGCTCGAAGGGAACAGGTCGTGCGTTGCAACTGAAGAAGATGGTGATGGTGTCTGCTTAAGTGAGAGCTTCCTTTCAGGACATACGTTTTAAAGTACGGAAATAGAGTCCGAACGAGTTGGCCGATGATAGAAAACTCGAATTGGAGTAACCGAATCTGAATCTTGTTTATGACTTTCCAACAGTTCAGCTCACCACGTCCGTCCTAAGCCTTCTACTCAACCCACCTTATTCAGGAACATGCCCAACGAGGCCCTGTCCCTGTACAAACAAACGATCAGCGTGACGACCGGCCTTTCCGCCCCGTACAACAACCTGGCGACCATCTACAAGCAGCAAGGGTGCTATGCGGACGCCATTGCTTGCTACAACGAGGTCCTCAGGATCGACAACCTGGCCGCGGACGGACTAGTCAACCGGGGCAACACGCTCAAAGAAATGGTGAGAGTTACACGAGGTCTGTGTCTCTTTCAGTAATGAGATGGACGATGTTGCTCCTTCCTAAACCGGCGGTTTCGATGCAAAGTATCTGTGCATTCCGATCTCGAACCCCCCTCGTTTTCTACCATCCTTATCCTTCTTCAAACTTACATTTTGGGGGCGATGGTGACAGCGCGTGAGCATGGACCGCTGCTTCTGTTCACCGGCATTCCGCACTTGCATACCGCTGTTCCTTGTCTTTCCTTTTCGTAGGGATGAGTATCTGAACGTTTTAAAGGACTACATGCCCTGTGAACATGCAATCTCAGGAGCAGTTCACTGACCATCGCCCCTTCTAGAATGAACCATTCTCATCGCCCCCTCCCTTAGGGCCGCGTCCCATTCTCATCGCCCCCTCCCTTAGGGCCGCGTCTCTGTCCAGGAATTCCCTCGCCCATGAGCTCCCTTTGGCAACCATCGCTTATCCTTGTCTCCAGCTTTCCAACCATTGCTTCTCCCCCCTTTCAGGGCCCCGTCTCTGAGGCCATCCAAGACTACCTACGCGCCATAAGCTCGCACTTGTCTTCCTCTCCAACTTTTCAACCATCGCTTATCCCCTTTACAGGGCCGTGTCTCTGAGGCCATCCAAGCCTACCTACGCCCCATGAGCTCACACTTGTCTTCGTCTGCAAGTTTCCAACCATAGCTTATTTCTCTTTCAGGGCTGCGTCTCCGAGGCCATCCAAGCCCACCTACGCGCCATGAGTCTGCACTTATTCTCTGTCTCCAAACTTTCCAACCATCGCTTATCCCCTTTTCAGGGCCGCGTCTCCGAGGCCATCCAAGACTACCTCCGCGCCGTCAACGTTCGTCCGAGCATGGCCGAGGCGCACGCGAACCTCGCGTCCGCGTACAAGGACAGCGGACTGTCCGAGTCCGCAATCCAGAGCTACCGCCACGCACTTCTGCTGCGGCCGAGCTTCCCGGAGGCCTTCTGCAACCTGCTCCACACGCTGCAGTGCGTGTGCGACTGGGACGACCGGGAAGCGCAGTTCGTGCAGCTGGAGAAAGTCATCCGCCAGCAGATAGAGGTGCGTAACCTGCTTCCAAGGGATCATCAGTGAGCAAACAGAGGCGCATCCTGCTCCCAAACAACTGGCACGTGGCAGTCGTCAAAATTAAGCCCCCGCACTTCAGTACCTTTTTACACTTCGTAACCACCTTCACCTTTCTAGGCTCCTACTTACTTCGCAGTAAGGGTCCTTTCCAGCGTGTAGTAGTGGTGGTTCCTTGGAAAGTCATTGCATACCTCCGAAGCAAACCCCCAGAGTCTTCTTATGCGCCCCTCATTAGTCGCCCTTACATTGGGGTGGTTTTCAGAAAGCCAATGCAGAGTGCCGGAATAAGGCCCCAAGTTTCCATTCCCCCTAGCAAGGTTGCCTCCCTACCAAAACCTAGGCGAGCTAACGTTATCTTCACGCAGCTTTTCTTTCTTGCAGATCAGGGTCCTCCCGAGTGTGCAACCATTCCACGCCATTGCGTACCCCCTAGACACGGACTGGCTCTTGAGGACTAGATCTTCTGAGCCATTGCATACCACCAAAGCCCCCAAAGTTCCAAACGGAAATAACTCCCTAAAAAGTCGTGAGCCATCTTAATCTCGTACTGGTTTTCCCTCTTGCAGATCAGGGCCCTCCCCAGCGTGCAGCCGTTCCACGCCATTGCGTACCCCCTAGACGCCGGACTGGCTCTTGAGAACTAGATCTTCTGAGCCATTGCATACCACCAAAGCCCCCGAAGTCCTGAACGGAAATCAACCCCCTGAAAAGTCGGGAGCCATCTTAATCTCGTTATGGCTTTTCCTCTTGCAGATCAGAGTCCTCCCCAGTGTGCAACCGTTCCACGCCATCGCGTACCCCCTAGACGCCGGACTGGCCCTCGAGATCAGCAAGAAGTACGCGGAGCACTGCCAGCTGGTGGCCGCGCGCTTCAACCTGCCGCCCTTCACCCACCCCCCTCCCATCCCGCCCAGGGCTCCCAAGGGCAGCGGCCGCCTGAGAGTGGGGTAAGGAGCGCTGCGAAATTGACTGCTTGCTTTACTCGTTCAGAATTTTGGGCTTGGGCTTTTAGCTCTCATTATATCGAATCCGGTTCTAAAACCTGCCGCCCTTCACCCACCACCCTCACCATCCCGCACAGAACTTCTGGGGGCAGCGGTCGCCTGAGAGTGGGGTAAGCAGCGCGGCGGACTGATTCCTCAGTTACTATTTACGCAGAGTTTCAAGGCCTGGGCTTTTGAACATTATGACATCGGTCTAGGATGTAATACCTATTGCCCTTCACCTACCTCCCGTACCATCCCCCCCGGTGCTCTTAGGGCAGGCAGGCAGCCGAGTGAGAATGGGGTGAAGCGTTGGGAACAAAGTGGTCAGAGCTTTTGGGCTCCAAGGTCTAGCCTCGAGGAATTATGTTTTTTCTTTCAAGACGGCCTTGGTTGGACGAAGGATCACAGGCCCGGTCGGAACTGCGAGTGAGGCGAGAAGCCTTTCTGTCAGAGCTTACTGAAAGAGCTTAGATGGCTTTGCTGGATGAGAGTTACAGTAAGGCAGCGGCCTCCAGAAAGTGGGAGGCGTAGTGCTGGGGTCATGGCTGTAACTGCGGTCGAAGAATATGAGCTTCGATCAATCCGGCAATCTCAGGTGAATGACCGCCTGAGAGCGGGGTGGGTGGTCGTATCTGTACCTTTTGTTGCTAAAAGGGGAAATCTTGTTGAAACCAAACGGGGAACTTGGACCAGGGCATCTCTTAGAAAGTATTGAACACTGTTTCAATGCCGTTTATGTAGTCAACAATCTCTGACCCGGTCTTCCTACCCTGCTTTCAGATACGTGAGCAGCGACTTCGGAAACCACCCCCTGTCGCATCTGATGGGATCCGTCTTTGGCATGCACAACAGGGACGAAATCGAGGTGAGACCTGAGCGTCTAGTCGTTTTCGTTCTTCGTAGGTCTTCTTGGGCTTGTGATGCATTCCTTGTCCAAAAATGTACTGTTATGTGTCATCGATTTGAGCAGGGGTTTTTCTTGCGCTTCGTCGCTTCCTCCGACGGTTTTTGCTATACCTTCTCTGTTCTGCACCGCTTCGCTTCGGCTGACACTCGAGCTTCAAGTACAAGCCCCTGGATACTGGCATTTTGTTTTCTGTAGACACTTGGTGACAGTTCTCCTCTCATTTCGAAGAGCGTTTGTCCTTCATAGCTCCTTTCTTCATGCATATTCCCTGAATGTTCTCTTGAGCTACTACGCTTTGCTCTCGACACTGTCGTCGCTGGTTTTTTCCAGCTGTCCCATCTCTCACGTTACCGATTGGTGCACTCCTTTTCTAAACACTCTTTCGCTCCTCCACGTCAGGTGCCCTGTCAGGCCCTTTGAAAAGTCGCTAATCTTCCCACTCTGGGTCCGGGTTCAAAAGTTCTCTTGCGGTGTGCAAGCTCTCCTAATTCCGTTTTCCGCTCCTTTTAGGATTACTTGCCTTGACACTTGGTGACTCCGGTGCTATCTTTGCAGGTCTTTTGCTATGCCCTGAGTGTCAACGACGGCTCCGAGTGGCGTCAGCGCATCTCGTCCGAGGCCGAGCACTTTTTCGACGTCTCCTCCACGCCCTCGGAACAAATCGCCGCCCAAATCGCCGCCGACCAGATTCAGGTCCTTATCAACCTGAACGGTTATACGAAAGGAGCGCGAAACGAGATATTTGCGCTTCGGCCGGCACCGATACAGGTGTCATACATGGGCTTTCCGGGGACCACTGGGGCTGAGTACATTGACTACCTGGTTACCGACGAGGTGAGGACACCGGTTTGGAGGACCCTTTGGAGAGGCAGTGTTTTCCTGCGGATGCAGCGTTTTCCGAAGGATATTTTCCCACAGGAGAGGGTTTGCCATTGTTGGTCGCTGCAAGACCATCATCAGCGGAACGTGATTCTGGCGTCTTTGCGGCGTTTGATTCTTTCAGGCTTTCATGTGCCAGGTGTCCCCCCGAAGTCGTTGGTCACCTTGAAGTCCATTCGGATCTCGGTGCAACGAAGTCGTCATCTTGTTTGGAAGCTTGTAAGCTTGGAAGCTTGTACTTGCGGGTTTTTTGTTTTCAGCGGTGTTTTTTTCAGATTAACCTGTCTTTGAGGTTTGCTATACTTCTACTGCACAACATCCTGGACAAACATTCTTGATGTACATTCTGTCTGTTCTGGCCTGGAAAGCCATCGCATACTCCAGAAATTGTGACCACGTTCCTCGGCACTCTCTTGTCGTCAGGAAGCTGACTTGCGCGCCCTTTGAATGACTACCCTCTATGCTCAAAGGACCATTCCTGTGTCCCCCTCCGAAACACCCGCTCCTTCCAGCCAAGTCGCTGAAGAATGAAACTTTGTAAAGAACCGCTCTTCGTTCTCCCCCCCGCAGTTCGTGTCCCTTTTCAAGAAATCTCCATCTAAGAAACGGGAAACCTACTCCCTTTTGACCGACCTATGAAGACACTATCTGACGTAACCAGCCTAGTTCTCTTCCGCAGTTCTCCTCTGAGAGCGCCCCCATCAAAACACCGTCTCAAAATGCTCAGAGATTACTGACATCGGAGGACACCAAACTGACGCAAACCGCCCCATTATTGTTTCGCAGCTCGTGTCCCCCTTCAAGAACGCTCCCATGAAAGGACCATCTCAAACTGCTTGGAGAATACTGACACCTGAGGACACCAAACTGACGCAAACCCCCTCCTTCTCGTTCCGCAGTTCGTGTCCCCCTTCGAGAACGCCCCCATCTACAGCGAGAAGCTGGTCCACTTGCCGCACTGCTACTTCGTGAACGACTACAAGCAGTCCAACCGCGACGTGCTCGACCCGCAAAACGCCCCCAAGCGCTCCGACTACGGCCTCCCGGAAGACAAGTTTTTGTTCTGCTGCTTCAACCAGCTGTACAAAATGGACCCCCAAACGTTTGGCCGCTGGTGCTCGATCCTGAAGCGGGTGCCTAACAGCGCGCTGTGGCTGCTGCGATTCCCGGCGGCGGGGGAGAGCCGGCTCAAGAGCTGTGAGTTCTCTGTCCATCCTAGTTCCTTTTCAACCTTTCAAGGTACGATGCTATCAGCGGGCCGCGTCTGCATACTGATTCTGTCCTTTCTCAGCTCAAGGGGGAGTCTTATTGAATTGGATTCGGCAACCCTTCTGAGCATGGTGCGTTTGTCTGATCAACATGGCCTTTCGACTGTGATCAAGCTAACGCACTCCAACTGTATCCTCGCCTTGGTTATATGCAGAAGGTTCACCGTTTTCTCGTGTCGTCCATCGACGAGTTCATGGACCAACCTATGCGTGGACTTGGACTAGACTGCTTATACCAAAAGCTTTTTGAGTAACGAAATAAACCGGACGTCAATTGTCTGATTCCGAATTAAACGTCATACGTCTGTACCTCTCTTACGTGCCTCTTGTCCCCAAACCCAGAACAGCGTTCTCAACGCCCTCCGCCTTGCTTCCTTCCAGGGGCCGTCTCTTACGGCGTCCATCCAGACCAGATCATCTTCACGGACGTCGCCGGGAAGAGCGAGCACATCCGGCGCAGCGCCCTCGCGGACCTTTTCCTAGACACCCCGCTCTGCAACGCGCACACGACCGGCACCGACGTCCTGTGGGCGGGCTGTCCGATCGTCACGCTCCCGCTGCAGAAAATGGCGACCCGAGTCGCGGGGTCGCTGTGCATTGCGGCGGGGTGTGGAAAGGAGATGGTTGTATCAAGGTAAGGGGAACAAGTGATGCCTGAACTGCTTGAGGCATTTGGTAACGACTGCACCAAAGTATCAAGCGATACACAATGGAACAAGTGACTCGTCTCGTCTGTGTCAACGAACGACGGCAGATATCGTCCATACTTGCAGCTTGACAATCTGAAGCTCGAAAGACTTTTAGTGACGGTTACTTGAAGAGGCAAAGTCGAAGGGAGACTTAGATCACGAGGTACCTTGACCTGAGGTTTGAATAAGATGCACCTGACCAGCTTTTTCAAACTCAACCTACTGCCGCCGCCGCACAATGTACCAAGCTGGAGCGTACCTACCTAAGGTACCTACTCTTGTCCTCTTGAAAGCAGTAAGGTTGCAACTTGCTACACCTACCGTACTTGCCCAGCCATGAGGTACCTAGTTAGTTACCTATCGACGTTTTTGTTCGCCGTAGGTTCTCAGCTCCCATCTCCTGAATCGAGTCTGACAGGCGCTCCCTTCTTGTAATCCGTGCAGCTGGGACGAGTATGAGGAGACGGCTGTCATGTACGCCACTAACCCGGCTAAGCTCAAGGCCGTCACGGAGAAACTGCGGGCGGGGCGGCTCACGTGCCCTCTCTTCGACACGAAACGATGGGTGAGCAAAGATGTGCAGTCTGAAAAGGTTTCGATTGAGTAGTGACGTCACAAGATGGAGAGCTTGTTTTGGTCAGAGACAGCACTCATTCTTGATAGGAAAAGGGAAAGAAGGCCCGCCTGCTTCAGAAGCTTGTGGAAACATACTTCGTGACTTACCGAGTTTCTTTCTGTTGTACATTGAGGAGAAGGTATGCAGTGTGACGTCGAAGCGAGGAGTGTCCTGAGTTCTACTGTGTCGTTGCAACGAGGATTGATCTTTATTTTTACTGATTTTGGGATTCCCCAATTCAAGGTGATAATGGACGTTGTTGATGCCTCTCGCGGGGTTTGTACCCGGTTCCTGTTTTGGCTACTCGGTTCCTGTTTCGGCTCCATAAGTACAGGAAAGTCTGCTTGTCAAGTGAAGGAGCACGAGCTTCAAGGACGAGATGGTTCGACAGCGCTCGCTTCTCCATCTGCGAGGGGATTTGAGACGGGTTTCGGAAGTCGGTTTCGCATTCGACACCCGTCTTTACACCCCACCTGAGACTTATGCATCTGCAGTGTCAAAATTTCATGAATAAAAGCATCGAACCCAGAAGTTGTTTCTTCTCTCCAGGTCAAGAACATGGACACCGCGCTCAAGAAGATGTGGCGTCTCCACTGCGACGGGCAGCCGGTACAACACTTCAAGGTGTTCGAGAACGAGCGCGTCTTCGATTCCGAGGGATCCCCCTCCCTCCTGGGTGCCAAAACCCCAGGCAGTGGTGCGCTCGCGCTCTCCGCTTTCTACTCCCTCATGCCAGCCGCGAGCCTGGACATCCCCCCGCAGACGAGCGGCAGGGACGGGGGGTTCGGAGCGCCCCTGCAGCCGGCCCCCCACCGCGACTTCAGCAGCCTGCGGGCGCTGTCGGGCGCGAATGCGCATTTTGGAGGAGGGGGGTCCGGTTACGTGGGCGCCCAGAACGAGCCGGAAACCTCTGGGAGGGGGTACGTGCTGCAGGAGCAGCAGACCCCCCCAACCGAACAGGATGTGGCTTCCTTTCTGAGGGGGGGGATCCGGCAACGGAAGGCCCCGGGTTATTATGCGTCTGACTCTAATGCTGGTCTCGGAATGGGAGGTCTGGAGGGGTATGTGGGATCTAGCGCTTATGATGGTTCGGCGGGTGTTGGCAGTCTGGCGAACTTTGGAAGCGCGGGAGGGGATGATTTTAAGGCTCTGGACGCTAGTGCGGTGCGGCGCGAGTTACTCTGGAAGAATCAATCTGGAGGTGCGGTTAACGGGCACGTCGGCGCAGGGATTGGGGACAGAAGCAGTCAGCGCATGGGAGACTGGAAGTCGGTGGGGTTATCGGCAGACCAGGCGGCTGGGTTATCCGCAAACCGTGCAGTTTTAACGAACGGGAAGCTGCCGTCGGGGTATCATATCAGCGGTGGACTGGGGCTGACGCTTCAAATGGGAGATTCGGATGTGCCGCAGATGAATTCGGACGGGTTCAGGGACGGATCGGACGTAGCCCGGGGGACGAAAGGGGGCAGCCGGCCAGCTGCCGAGTGGACTTTCCAGAACGGGGCCGGGTTTGAAAATGGGAACGTACAAAGGGAGGATTGGGGTTCGGCATTTGTCCGAAAGAGGGAAGTCAGGGAGGGCACTGCGAGTGCGCCGATAGACATAGAGGGTCTGGACGCAGTAGGTTCGGCGAAGGATCCGATTAGAATTGGAGAGCGAGAAGACCCAGGCGCGCTGCGTTGGGAGAGGGCTGGGAGGGCTCCTGCGGGTGCCGCCAAGCCCCGTGGTTACACCGTGATCAGTTTACAACAAGAGCTTCCAGAGTCCATCCCAAAAGACGTAAGCAGGGGAAGCGGATATAGTTAGGAGTCCAGGCAGTCGTGACCAGCTTATAGGAGCGATTGGAGATACGGGTCATGTGGTCTGGATTGGTTGATTGCATCAGGAGTGAGCGCACCGCATTGTTCCGTCTTGTGCTTCGAGTCCACGGTTGTATAGTAGTCGCTCATTAGGACAGTGAAGGAGCACCCGCTGGTGTCTTCGTTTAGAAGATGGCATCTTCGCATGTATACGGAGAGTTTTTAGTAGATACTCATAAAAGCCCGGTTGTAAACAAGCCCGGCTTACCTCCGCTTGACAATAAAGTCTTATAAGATCATAGCTGAGGAACATCATCTTGGCTGCGCATGCAATGTGTGGCCTTGGTTGCAAGAAAAACTTGTCCTTCGAAGTTGGCAAGGAACCTAGAACCAAGCGTTGTGATAAATGCAGTGCACCGGCCTGGTGTTGAATGCAAACCTAGGATTCACCAAATGTTATTTGGATGCCGAATTTTGCCGTAAACCAGTGTCGAGCCTTTCGTATTGTCTGGTTAATGGTCCGAGTCCGACCGTCAAGAGTTGGAATATATATGTGTCCGGGCGACGACTGGGATAGGTCCGAAACTTGAAAGCTTGGTTGTACGTGATCGAACATAAGACGCTCCGGCGCAAATTAATTTCGATCAGGACCATATAAGGTCAAGGTTGCTATACTTGATGTAACGTCTTTTTTGTTGCATGGCATATGTGTGGCCTGACTTGCATTTTGTATCCTGAGGCGCTTTTCAGTGATAGGAGGAACAATACTGCATACATGGCGCATATACGTGCTAATATATAGGCCATAGGGTACCTAACTTAACAATATGCCACTCCGATCCGCCTTCATGCACATGTGCCTCCAAAGGAAAGACTCCGACTCAGTGCTAAGAATTGCCTAGAACCTCCATTCAATCTCGGTTAAGTTGCATGAGCACCGTCCATTGAAAACAATCAAATTCTGAAATGCAGGCATGCACATGCCAGACTCAGCCCATCATTATTCTAGCTAGTCCACGAACATGGGGATCAATGCCAGTGAAATGCAACCATAACTGCACATACAAACTCGATCACCAGCCGGGGGAGACAGAGAGAGAAGTAAACACCTTATAGATGAAGATAAGAGATCGAAATAATGGCAAAGGTACAAGACGTGGCAAGTTCTGATGCAGTCGGTTTCTGTACAGTGCATGAATTGCGCACGAGGGCAGTCTCTGAACTTGCAACCCTGCTCATCTAGACTGCATTACATAATCACTGTCAAACACGACCCAACTCTTATAGACAAACGGTGAGGTTATGACCAGTGCTCAGTCGTCCAGACTGTGTTATGTTGCCAATCACGACCCTTAACTCATTCAGACAGATGGATGAGGTGGGTTGCGGCGCAGCTATCATCCGCATCCTTTACGAGAAGCCGATTATAACGTGGATCCAGACAGTCCCATGAGGCAGGTTTCGACCCTGCTCATCTGAGCCCTCACAGAATATTGGGATGGAAAAAAGATGGTCAAATGTTGGAATCCGTGGAGAGACTCAGCAGACAACACTGCCCACTCCAATTCAAGCTTTCAGGCTGATGCCTCCACGTTCATGTGCTGCGGCATTCCGTTAACCAGCGGTTACTACTCTTACGATGGCAGGATTTATTGGCCCCAACCAACCCTGGGTCTCTGGCCCAGTCTCAAATTCGCCTCTGCTCCATCCACCGCGCGTAAGGCGCAACCCGTACAAAACAGGATGGATGTGTTTACAATTCTGAGTCACCACCACCTAATCTAACCTTCACTAGCTTTCAACATTGTTCTGGTTCTCAGCTCAAGAACAAGAACTCTGTACAATCTTAAGCACATAGACGCGATATGCGCCTCAACATTGACGGCTGTTGTTCTGGCACTACATGCCCCTGAGTACTACTCGGTACCTGACTTCTTGTCCCTTTGGGCCCTCTTTTGTTGTGGCCTAAAGAGGGCCGTGGCCTCCATTCTTTTGTTGCCCTAGCTGCTTTCGCCCTCTCAACTGCTGAAAGCTCTCGCCGAGTCCTCTTACTTATTTGGAGCAAGGGCGGGAGCGTTTCAGGCGTGGTGCTTGGAGATGCACTCAAGGCACGTCTTGCTTCCTGTTTCTGAATCTCTGCATTGGCTGACGTGCTCAGCATCTCCAATGGCAATTTACATTGCGGTCTGACAGGTGTAACAGGTTGGATTTCATCCCTGCCTGCTATATTTGTTTCTGGGGAGGTCGTGTGTTGAATTTTGATGTTTTTTTCATGGATTTCTTCGCTGGACGAAGTTTCACTCTGCTGTGGGCTACTGTCAGTGGAAGTTTCACGGGTGTGGCCCACTCTAAATATAAGGTTTCGATCACTGGTACAAGCTGTAAGCCTATCGCAGACTCTGATGATTTGCAGGTGGATTGTGTCAGCCCAAATTGCCTTTTTCAAAGGAGGCGCTGAACACTCTTGCAGAACCTCTTGCGCATCGTTCAGAACTTCTTGCAGATTCGCCAGCCACAATCTCTGACCCTTAATGTCACTGCTGTTACTTATGTCCTGAGCGCCCCAGTTCTCTAGGTGATGCAACACAAGTTTCAACCTATTCCTCAAATGAGAGGCGTCCTCCTCATTCCTCTCAAACTTTCTGCGAGTGTCAATGATCTTTTTCACGAGCAGCACACACGCTCTAATTCCTGCCTCCATGTCAGAGGATCATGTCCCCCATTGCTTGCGGGTTCATCCTTCCCTGACATCCGTTTGCAGGAGAGTCGATTAAAGCGCTCTAAGAAGAGCGAGTTCAACCTCAAGACTGAGTTCAGCTGCATGCCAGCTACAAATCATGGCAGCCAGCTTCGGTGGGGGTTCCCTCGGCCGGTGACGATCGCCCCTTTACAGTTTACACAGGCTGTAGCCGTAGACCGTACTACAGCACTTACTAGTACCAGGTACGGTACCTGATTTTGTTGCAAGTTCATGCCACGGGTACCTTCAACGGTGGGTATGTACCGTTGGTGATAGGTTCAGGCAGTCTGACCGGGGGGGAAGAGCGGGGGTAATAAAACTTGATGAAATTGTCTAGCTTGGACGAATGGCCGCGCTAGCGGCCCCTCGATGTTTTAAATTACCTATCTGGAAAATTGAAGCGAGATCGATTACCTAAATGCCTAAATCAACAAAATTAAATAGGTAGGCGGTTGACGAATACCGGTGGGCGCCGGTATTGCTCCAGTTGGGGTCTCTAGTACTCTCTATGGTGCCGTTTTGGTCCCCGGCCGCGCCGCTTCTCAGTCCTGATCTAGATTTTCCGCCAATCACAGGGGGCCTACCAAATGAAGTTCGAAGTTAAATAAACGGCCAGGATCCGCCCGGATGGATCGGACGGCGCACGTTCGACAATGGTCGTGCCGGAGTTGGCAGTGACGCTAAATTTTCTTGCATGTACCGGAGAGGACTGCCACGTCACCACCTGCGAAGGTTCGCGAGACATTTCGAAACCTCGGGCGTCGAACCATCGAAACTTAGGGCTAAGCGACCGGGACCACCGGCCGAGGTCGGGCTTTAGGTACTTAGGGAGAGGGCATCGGGCCAAATAGGCAAGTTCGAGGGCCCGGTATTCCCGGACCGGGTAGCAGGAGGCAGGATGGAGGCGCACGGGGCTTAGGAAGATCCGGCCCCCTCAGAGTAGGCCAAGGAAGGGGTGGTAACCATGGAGTCTCAAGCTAGTCTTCAGCATTTCAGCAGTGGGCTTGGTCACATTGAGCAAGGTAGCCTG